AAAAACTGCGGGGAACTCTGCAAAAAACGCATCTTCGCACGGTCAGCCCGTGCGTTAGCCAGTTATTTGGTAATTCATAGAAACGAGAACGTGCCTGTCCTCTTTTCGGCTGATGATTGTTCTGGGCAGACATTATCTCTCCGAGACAAGAGGTCTTCAATGTTAAAGGGAAAGCAGAGAAATCAGGAAGAATGAGAGCTTTATTGCTTCATTGAGTTAGTATCGCTTTCGTGCGACATGTGTGCCCATGAGGAATATAGCCCGCTATGCTCTGTAGCACAAGATTTTTACCAAATCCACAGCTGAAACGTATTTTGCAAATTTCAGTCCACGTTAAAAGTGAAAAATGGCCTGAAAAGTGCAAATTTAACGTTAAAAATTTAATTGGCTGCCATACAAATGAAGCGTAAGGGCCAAAGGAATAAGACTTCTGGCATGGATTCCACGATAATTGCTGAAACAAAGCAAAAATAAATGAAGTGCTCTATTTTTTTCCCATTTAATTTTATGAAGCATTTTGATAAGCGGGAATAGCCAATGAAGTGTTGTTTTAGTGATCCTTCGCCAGCGAGCGATTCTGACAGTCTGGATAGTTCCTCAGCTGTCAGACCTTCAGATCCACCAGATGAACCTTTAATACCTCCAAATTTCTTCGAAAATGTGCAGCCCTCGACATCGATGCTCCCAGTCAATTCAATTTCGGATCTTCTGCTTGCAATACACACTCACAGTCACCCATGTAAGTGCAACAGTTTTTTGTCTTTCGATTACGCTTCACGAAAAAAGCAGTTCACATTCATCCTGCTAAGCTTGATGGGCATTATTAGGCGATTTTTTAATCAACAAATAGATGCAAAAAAAAGCAAACAGACTTACTTATAATATGGTGCTTTTTTTCCCATTCGAAATTCGTTGAGTGATTACAGTAATAATTTGGTACTGACATTTGTCGAGTGAGGGGGGAAGGGGAGGAGGAGATCGGCCGAGAAGAGGCGGGGAAGGGGGGG